GGGATTAGGAAGGTGGTGAAAATCTTCTGGAGGAGATAGAGGAAAAACAGCTAGGAGAACCACAAAATGTGGTATCTCTGAAATCAAGGAAGGAATAAGATCCAAGAAGACAACAGTTAATGATGCCAGATGGCTGCAGAGAGGTCAAAAGGGGATAATGGTCTGGAAAAAAAGCAACTGGATTTAGCTGTGAGCATGTTACTTTTTAATGAGGATGTTATGGACGATCTGTGAAAGAGTACTTTACACAGAGTGGTAGCAAAGGAAACCAAGATTGTAAGGGGTTGAGAGGAGAAGTCACCAATAAGTGGAGATGTTAGATATAGACAACTTTTAATTTTAAAAGAATATTTCCATATATAAGGTAGAGCAGAAAAAAGAGGACTATATATATGAAACTGTGAGTCTCTATTACATGCAATTAGCTTTTTTAAGAAATCATAATAAACTTAACCTGTTACTTTCAAAGCTATCCTGCTTGTCTGTGTTTCCTTCTGTACTTTCTTTCTGTTCTTCTCTGGGCATTTTTTTAAAATGCCTCAATAACTTTCTTTTCTGAGCAACTCCTGTTTTCCTGTCAAACCCTCTTCCATGGTAGGAAAAAATAAAAATATAATCCTTGTTACAAGGAGTTGTAGTCAGGTAAAACCAATCCACATATGTCATATCTAAAAATATGTATCTCCTGCACCTTGAGTCCATCACCCCTCTGTCTGGAAGTGGGAAGTATACTTCCATCATCATTCCTCTAGGGCAGAGGTTCCCAAACTTATTTGCCCTACCACCCCCTTTTTAAAAAAAAAATTACTCAGCTCCCCCTGCCCCAAAATTTACTTTCTCTAACCCTTTAGCAGTTTTTTTTTTTAAATCGCATCATTTCCAAAAAATATATATATATATTTTTAAATGATGCATCTTAAAATTAATAATTTACTTTAAATTTGTGGTTTTTTCCTGCATTGAAATTTGAATGACACAGTATTGCATCATGTAACCATATAGTATCATATTGCAAACAAGTCATCACACACACATATTCCTACTGATGCATGCTGGACTTCCTGGCAATGCTCGACATGCTTGCCTGCCAACATTTGCTTGTTAAGACCTGTCAGCAGACTTGACCATTGATCAGTTATAACTTGCATCTGGGTTAACAATACTTCCAATGGCCTGAACCTTAGTAGGGGGGAGGAAGCAGGGAATATGGTTAAGGGCTTGAGCCAAAAAGGTTTGGAACAGTAGCTTTGGAGAATAATATAGGAATTTGCTAAGCAGCAGTGTACGTTCACTTGCAAGTGCACCCTCTAGATGGTAGTAGTAGAATCAGCTTGCTGTTATGACTCCCTAGCAATGTTCATCCACCCATAAGTAGAATGGGAGATGGTGGGGATTATCCAGTCTGGAGGAGGTTTTCATCAAGTATTTATTAAGTGCTGTTTGTGAGCAGGTTACTGTGGTAGGGTCTGGAGATACAAAGACAAAAAAACAAACTGACTTTGCCTCCAGGGAATCTATAGTCCATTTTGGGGGTTAGGCATAGGTGGGAATACACTGTGCACACAGATAAGTAAATATAAAGTGATTTGGGGATGAGAGTGAGAATCCAACTGAGGATATCAAAAAAGTATTTGTATGAGGGGAGGGCACCAAGAAAATTCAAGAGGGTGTAGCACAGGAATCTGTGGCCTCAAGGCCACATGTGGCCCTCTAGGTCCTCGAGTGTGGCCCTTTGACTGACTCCAAACTTCATAAAACAAATCCCCTTAATGAAAGGATTTGCTCTGTAAAATGCATTTGTTGAGCAGGAGTTCTGGAGGACACAGGGGAATGGGCTAGTATGGGAGTAAGCCCAGGTGAAGTGGGCCTGAAGGAGTTGGGCTGATCAAAATAGAAAGGAGGAGTCAGAAGGATGTAGGAGGGACATGCAGCTTTCAGCTACTGCCATATTGGAGAGAATAGCTTAGAGAACCCAATATGATGAAACGTAGATTGGGAAGCCATGTTAGCATTAAAAATTTAGAGAAATTGCCTGGCCCCAGAGTTCTGTTGGTTGGGTTTTTTGGTTTGTTTGTTTGTTTGTTTTTGGAGGCAATTGGAGTTAAGTACTTGCCCAGGGTCACACAGCTAATAAGTGTCTGAGGCTGGATTTGAATTCAGGTCCTCCTGACTCTGGGGTGGGTACTCTATCCACCGCACCATCTAGCTACCCTTCAAAGTTCTAAATAAAATGTGAAATTCTGACCTTTGGGAGAAGAGGCCTGCATAGGATCTCAACCTCTAGTATTTTTTAAGGCCCACAGTGATGAAGAAAGACCCTCTGTTCCTGTCTTAGGTTGGGGCATTGCCTCGTGTCTGTGCTTTTCCAAATGACCATTCTGCGGGACCTGGAAAAATTGGCAGGCTGGCACCGAATTGCCATCATCTTTATCCTCAGTGGCATCACAGGCAACCTAGCCAGCGCCATCTTCCTCCCATATAGAGCAGAGGTAGGAGACTCAGAGACATATTGTCCAGTATGAATTCTGTGATCTTGCCATTGGAAATGAACAAAGATTCTTTGGGGGAAATATTGGGCATGGAGGGAGTTGCTATCTCCCATCCCCTTGGTTCCTGGGGGTGTTTGATATGGACTAGGCCCGTGGTTGAAGGACTGTCTGCTACCCAGTATCTCAAAATAAGTGATGAACTCTAAACGCTTTGGCTTCAGGGGAGGGAGAAAGAGTCCCCTACAACACTAAGCAGTTTCTTTTTTCTTTTTTTTGTTCCACCAGGCAATTTCTAAGGAGAAGGTTTGGGGTCAGGGAGTGCATCATAGCTTTGCTTCCCATCCCAGCCATGTTTACTTATGAGGACCTTGCTTCTGTCTAGAAAGCTTTGCTTTCTGCCCTGGCTTGTCCTCTCTAGACCTTGTTTATGTACCAGGATGACACCCCGTATTCCTCCTCTCCTTGATCTCCCGTCAGGGCTTAGCGGGATGATGCCTAATCCTGTAGGTTTAACTGACTGGCCCTCTAATCCCCATGGATGAGGGAGGGAGCGGCAGCTGATGACGCTGACTCACCGGACAACCTTTACTGACTCTTTAGCCTCGTCCTTGATTTGCTCCCTGACTGCCTAGGAATGGCCCCAGTCTTTAGCCCAGCAGTTCTGGTTACTGTGGCTCCCAAGCCTTTAACAGGGCTCAGTGACACTACTGTACCCCTCCTCTCCTCAGGTGGGCCCTGCAGGCTCCCAGTTTGGTGTCCTCGCTTGCCTCTTTGTGGAGCTCATCCAGAGTTGGCAGCTCCTGGAAAATCCCTGGAAGGCCTTCCTGAACCTGTCAGGCATCGTGTTCTTCCTCTTCATCTGTGGGCTTCTGCCTTGGATCGACAACATTGCCCACATCTTCGGTTTCCTTAGTGGCCTGCTACTCTCCTTTGCTTTCCTGCCCTACATCACCTTTGGCACGGGAGACATGTACCGCAAGCGAGCCATGATCCTGGTGTCCCTGGTCATCTTTGCAGGTCTTTTTGCCTCCCTTGTCATCTGGCTGTATGTGTACCCCATCAACTGGCCTTGGATTGAATACCTCACCTGCTTCCCCTTCACCAGCCGATTCTGTGAGAAATATGAGCTGGACCAGGTGCTGCACTGACACCCTTCCCCGATCCTGGGCTCCAGGCCTGCTCAGGATGGACAGCCAGGAGAGGCCCTCTTTTTGGGTATCTGGTGCCCCAGAGTTTGGGGCCATAGAGGAGAAAGGGAGAACGTGGCTTCTCCCAGGGGAGCTCCATGGAACTCTCCTTTCCCTCTACTGGGAGGCTACGTGAATGTGGTGGTAAAATCCTCCTGGAGTCAGAGGGCACTCACTCACTGGCAACTCCTAGAAGGGGTTTGGGGCAGCATTCACTTGATGTGGATAGGTCAGGCAAGAGGAGGCTCCTCGGGTTCCCAGCGGCATTTTGGGAAATGGAGTCCCCACTCTCTTTTACACCCTCATGTTCTTGACTGAGACCTGTTAGGGGAGGTCCAGGCAGCCTACCCCTAGGGAGCTTGGTTCACACAGATTCAGGTCCCCTTGCCTTCCCTACACCACCATTAGGAAGCCAGGAAATCTTTTCCCCCACCTCACACGCAGGGAGCTACTTTTTAAAAGACCATCTGAGATTGTCTTGGATGGTTTTCTTTTCCACCCAGGCCTCTATGGTTATGCTTAGCCATAGCCTGTCCTGGTGTCTTCTCGCCCTTCAGTACCTTTAATCCATTCCCAGCCTGAGGAAGCCTTTTCTGTGCAAGGTCTCTCCTTCTGCCGAAGCTGCCATAGACTGTGGAAAGGTCTGAAGGGCCAGATTTCCTTCCTGAACCTCCCCATCCCCAGACTCCCATAGAAACTTTTCAGTGGTAGATGGGGTTGTCCCTCCTTCTCCATCTTCCCTGCCTCACTGCCTCACCCTGAGGGCTTCTGATGAGCTGTCTTGGGGTTGCAAACCTTTCTTAGATGGAATCCATACTAGGAAGCTTGGTGGATGCCCTTAAGAGAGAGAAAAGGGGAGGGACAGGGACAGGAGGAGAGATTAAGAAGGTAAAAATACTCTTTGGCTGGGAATGGGCTAGATCTAGGAGTTGGAGGCCTCCTGATTCTATCCTTCATCTCCTCTTCCCCTTTCACCTCCTACTACTGACTGAGATTCTTCAGCAACACTCCCCAGCCTCAATAGCTTTCTACCTCACAATACACCCAGTGATGAGGATGGAACCTGGCTAGCTTTGGGAAGCTGATTCAAATTTGGAGAGTTCCTTTTTTTTTTTTTACTGGTTCGTTTTGGAATTATTATTTTTAAAACTTAAGCCAGTTTAGTGGTACCTGTTATGGACAGTATCACTAGTTAATTAAATATTCTTTATAGAAAACAAAGTGTAAGTTTCATTCTTGGGAAAAAATGTTTATTTTAAATGCAGAAACTAGAAACAAAGCAAAAGCTGAGACTTAGCAACATGAAAATGAACCATGATTGGGATTGATAGGGCCTTAATGGCTTTATTTTACAATACAGTGGGTATGGGTGGGGGAGGGGTGGTGGTGGAGAGGAAGGACACTTTAGTTTAGCCAATTTGTCTAGGAAGTTAAATCGAGAGTTGAAGAGTTTGGAGTTGAGGCAGTTCATGGGGTCATTGCTAGAAAGAGGACCTGGAAAGTTCTGTGTTTGGGGAAAGTTGTAGGGTTCATGTGGGGAGCCCTCTTTTGACTGCCAAGAGAGGAGGTTATGGGAAAAAAGGTTGTCCTTCCCGGTCTGTTCCAATTAAGAATGGAATGTTCTTTTTCCATTCCCCTCCTCCCACATATGCAGGGGGATTTAGAAGCAGCCATGGCACATAAGAAAGTTGTCCCTTCCTGACCAGGAAGCTGCCTTTGAGCTCAGCCAGCATTTCCTTCCATTCCCAGGAAGTGGGAGACATAGAGGGGCCAACTGTCTCTCCCCCATCCCATTGCCTTTCCTAGAGGTGGAAAAAAAACATTCTTAGCAGAGCCCTCCTCCCCACTGTTGGAAGGGCAAGGTGGAACCCTCAGGGATATGTGATTGTGCCCTGGGTTGAAGAAGAAACGCTCACATGGAACATAGAACATTCTCATTTTCTAAATGAAAATTCTGTTTGAATATAGAGTTTCAAATATTGGAGAGAACTTCCCATCTATCTACCCCTTCTATGCTACTGTTCCCATTGGCCTCTCATCTGAACCTGGACTGGACTGGACTGGCCTTGGAGAAGGGAGGTTGCCATCTTTGTGTAGTCCAAGCCCCACCCTGACAATGGAGAATTCCTTTAATGTCTCTTTTAACAATTCAACTAAATTGGGATGGGACTTGGAGAGGGATGGAGGAAAGGGTAGGAAATCTAGACCTGTGTGGCTGGGCTTTGCTGCTATTAAAATCTGAGTAATGGTCATGGCAGCAGTGGCCCTTAAGATCACTTCTTCCCAGTCACCAGAGGGTCTTTATGCCCTTACCAGGATCTAGGAGGACTCTGTGCTTCAGAGGGAAGGGGAAAGTACTGGAGGAAAGGGAGGAAAAGACTTAGCAACCACTGTTTCTTCGAAGGAAGGCATAACCTTGCACTGGGCACTGGAGTTCCGTGAAGGATAGGGTGCCCACCCTGACTGCACACGGCCCTACTATCTGGAAGCCGCATTTCTGATAGAAGGGCACCAAGAAGTCCTCACACATGAGCACAGCCCGGCGAACAGACGACTGGTGGCATAAGTGTTGCAGGTAGCGCCACAACAAGATGGAGCCTTTGCCTTGCTGGCGAAAGGTGTGGTGTACTGCGAGTGCGTGGATGTGGGCAGTGTGGCCTCTGGGCCGATGTAATGTCAAAGACTCCTGGTGGCCAAAAGGGAAGCAATTAAATCTGACTCACTTCTTTTCCCCCACCAAGCCCCAAGAGTTATGCAATCTGTCTGGCCAGGACCTATCTGGGTTGGGGGAAAAACAAGGTGTCCCAAAAAATTAGAGGACCACTTAAGGTGGTCTTGAGAAAGTCTCTGGAGAATCTTAGTGCACTCCTAAGTGCTGGGGCAAGAGGAAATCATTCCAGTTTCCTTATTTTAGCCTTGGAAAGTGGAAGGTGAGGGAAAGGTTTGCTCCTCTGTTCACTGTTGAGAGAGGACATATAAACGAGTTACTTCTCACTCTGGGTAAATAATCTATCTGCAATAGGTCACTGTCACTTAAAAAGAGTCTGAGACGAGGGGCAGCTAGGTGGCACAGTGGATAGATCACCAGCCCTGGAGTCAGGAGGACCCGAGTTCAAATTTGGTCTCAGACCAGATACTTGACAGTTACTAGCTCTGTGTGATCCTGGGCAAGTCACTTAACCCCAATTGCCTTGCAAAAAAAAAAAAAGTCTGGGACCAAGTTGGCTAAGAAGAAGCCTCTCCTAGAGGACTGGGCCTTTCCACATCTCCCATTCTCTGTATCACCACTCCCCACCCCCAGCACCTCACCTGCGTCAGTCTGTCCTGGTCCCAGAGGGAGCCAATGATGAAGGCTACAAGCCGACCTTCCTCAAACCAGCCCAGGGACATCTCTGGGCACAGGGTCAGGAAGTGCTGGATCTCATCTATGTACAGGGGACAGTTGCCAGACACAGAGATGAAAGCTGTGGATGGGAGGAGACGGGACAGATCCATCTATTAGTCACCACTGTATGTGGACAGACAGACCTGAAAGTCCAGGACAACTTAGAAAACAGGTAAAGCTGAAAGGAAGGAAGGAAGGGGAATGTACTTCCTTCTCTCCTACCCCCTTTACTAGGGGTCATCTCCAGTCCTAATACTGGACCCAGATGGCTCCGGAGGACAGAGTGAGGCTGGTGACTTTGCACAGCCCTCCCTCACTTAAATCCAATTCTCATGCATGTCATGGCTTCACCTTCCTGATGTCACAGTCGTCTTCAAGAACAAAGAACGAAAAACAACAGCTGTCTCTACTCTTTTCAGCAATGTTTCAGTATGAAGTGGTTGAACCTGGGCTTAAGAATAGACTCATTTAACCTCCTGCTCTGAAAAAGCACTGAGTTAGGAGACCTGAGCTCTCCCAGCTCTGCCCCCACTCGCCATGTGATTTGGGCCTTGGTTTCCTTCTATTTAAAAGGAAGGGACTGGACAATAGCTATGATTTTTTTCTCACTTTATCATCCCATCCTCTGCCCATAGGACAAGAGCAATCTGAGATATCTCATCTGTACTACTTGGCCCTACTTGCCCCAACATCCACAATCCCCGAGTATTGATTTGGGCCTCATTCAAGTAGAAAAGTAAATTAAAAGAGCTCATCCACACTGCAGGGTCAGTGACTTACCTTCTCGCTCAATCTCAAACACACCGATGGCATCTTCTGGTGAGAGACATCGGAACTCACTGGCCGGGAGTGTGTGACGGCGTTGGCGGCTTGGGGATTCTGAAAGTCCCCAGACTGGGCTCAAGATTCTGGGCTTCTGACGGGGCATGGCATTCAGTGCAGATATCCTGTCTGCTCTGGGGGCCCCTACTGCAACTGTCTCCTCCATCACTAAGGAGCTTTCTTAAGCAACTGGGCGAAGGTCAGAGAAATGGTCCTCTGTGGTTACTTTCCAGAACACCCTTTATAAGAGAACAAAGGAGGTTCCTCATCTTTTCAACAGGTAATGAGATATCTGCCCCATAGCCTTCAAAGTGAATCTCAGCCTTATGGAGTAGTGGGAGACTGGGGTGGACCCATGGCTGGGGCCAGAAAGGAGCTGAGGGGGAGCTCCTGGACACGTGTGCCCATAGCAAGCCACATTCAGGGATTCCTTGAACCACTCTGATATTCAAATGACAAAGCATTTATTAAGCGCTTACTATGTGCCAGCACTGTACTAAATACCGGACGATTCAAAGAGAGGCAAAATAACTCCTTATTTCAAGGAATTCATGATGTAAGAGACAAAATCCAAATAACCATGTACAAATAATATATACTGCTCTGAGGCTGGACCCCAGAAAGCTAGGAGTGGTCAGATGGGGAAAAAATCTTGGGGGGGTTTGTGGGATTCTCAGAGCCACTTACCTGATAAGAATGAGAATGCTAGAACCTTTGGTTTCAGGACCAGTGAATGGAGGCAACTTTGTTCAGGGGACCTCATCCTTTGGTTCTCAGAGAAAAGCCACTTAGTCTGGCTGAGCTCCTCAAAGCAGCTTTCCCGAGCCCCAGGGGAGTAACCTCTACTGGTAATACTGACAGAGGTTCAGACCCTGCCTCTTGAGAACGGCAAGTCTGAGAGGGAGCGGTTGGGCAGGTTTGGGGATTGGAGAGAGCCTTGAAGATCAAGAAACATGGGACAGAGAACTGTGTATTAAGAATACAGTGGAACTGGACACAAGGATGCTAGGATGTGTATTGTATAGCCAACAGGCTTACTGACACTCTCTGCATTGCCTCCCCTTCTCCCTCAACCAGGGAGGCAATAGCAGTGGATTGCTATGGCCTAGAAACTCCCTAGTAGTCTAATACTAGGGGGATTAACCTAACTTGCCTGGTGGAAAGCACCCCACGGGAAAGTCTTAACCTAGGGTCTGCAAACTATTTTTTGAAAACTATTTCAATATAACTAGTTTCCTTTGTAATCCTATGTATTTTATTTTATGCCTTTCAAAATAGGTGGTACAGTGGATAGAGCTGTGGCCTTGGAGTCAGGAGGAAGTGAGTTCAAATACAGTCTCAGACACATGACACTAGCTGTGTGACCCTGGGCAAGTCACTTAACCCCAATTGCCTCACCAAAAAAGAAAAAAAATATTCAGAGAATATATTCATAGCCTTCACAGAGAGGTCTAAAGCACTAAATAAATAGATGAATGAATGAATACGCAAGTAAATAAATAAATGGATGGATAGGTGAATAGATAGATAGTTGGATAGATAGACAGATAGAAAGAAAAAGGTTAGGAACAATTTTTTGATGTTTCTTCAAGCTTTTAGCCTCCCTCACTAGGTAATTTCTATCCTTCTCAAATCTCAGGAGAGAACCCCCAGACCAGGCCGCAGTGGTGGCTACTGCCCACAAAACATCAGGGGCCTAAGGGCCAGAGAGAATGTGAACACTTATCAGGCCTAGAGTGATTGGAAAGGATCCCACTACAAATCTAAATCAGGCTTTCCCCCCTCGCCAGGGAGTAATGAGGAAATATGGTCTATCATTCAGTGAAACAAGTGGTAGGCAGGGGACCTGACATGGTTTTAAAAATTTTTTAATCCTCATTGCCCTCTATGCCTTTTTTCATCACACCAGTTATGCCAGTCACATGCTCTGACAAGTTTTACTTCCTGTGCCAGGCCCTGTTGAAGGATAAAACATTTTTATCTGATTACTTCCTCAGAGCCCAGAAAGAAGGATGTCAAATGATTCCAAAGCGAGACCTCTTGGTTTAGTGCTAGACTGAAATCAGAAGGCCTGAGTTCTAGTTCTGACAAGTTGCTTCTAAGATTTAATTTCCTCAATTGTAAAATTAGGCAGTTGCCCTGAATCAGGGGTTCTTAGGCTTTTTTTGTGTCATGGCAGTGTTTGGCAGTCTAATGAAGCCTATGGACTGCCTTCTCAGAATAATGCTTTAAATGCACAAAATGCGTAGGATTACAAAGAAAACCAACTATGTTGGAATATAGCTCTCAACATTTTTCAAAAACAAGTTTATGGACCCCAAGTTAAGAACCCTTAGAGCCCAAGATCTCCAATGTTTCTTTCCCATCTGAAGTTCTATGAGTTCACGAAAATGCTTAGCACACTACTTTGATATTCAAAGTGGAGGTTTTATAAATATTGAAAGAAAGGCAAGGAAGGATAGAAAGGAAGTAATGGAAAGAAAGATAGTGGTGTCTAGAGTGAAAATTCGGATGAAGAAGGATATATAGACTCTTTCTATTACATGCAATAATCAATGAATCTGAGGTGTTTCCCGGGGGGGGGTACAGTGTCCATCTTTCTGCTGTCATTTCCTGAGACCTCTACTGCTGAGTGAGTAGAATCAGAGGGAATCAGTGACCCATTAGCTTTAGAGAGAAGTCCCTAAATCATGCTACCAGTGATAATAAGGAAAATGAGAGGAGTTTTTACTTTTGAGGTATTTAGATTGCATATTTATGTCATTTTCCCTACTTAAATCCTACCTGTTTGGAAGCAGAGCGCTCCTTCACACGCTTTCCCTGGATGATCTCATCAACTCCCATGGGTCCAATTATTATCTCTATGCGGACGCCTCCGATATCTGTCTTTCCAGACATACTCTTTCTCATTAGAGCCTGTTACACGTAACTAGTTCCTTGTTGGCAATTTTGGTTGGAGGTCCCATATGGTTGTTGAGCTGTGTCTGACTCTTCATCACCCCACTTGGGGTTTTCTTGGCAAAGATGCTGGAGTGGTTTGCCATTTTCTTCCCCCGCTGATTTTATAGATGAGGAACTGAAACTAACACACTTATCTTCCTGAGTTCACTGGCCTCAGACACTTAACTAGCTGTGAGACTCTGGGCAAGTCACTTAACCCTGTCTGCCTCAGTTTCCTCATCTGTAAAAGGAAATGGCAAACCGCTCCAGCATCTTTGCCAAGAAAACCCCAAGTGGGATTATGAAGAGTCAGACACAACTAAAAAGCAACTGAACAATATTTAATTTAAAACAATACTTTATAAATAGTAAGTAATTATACTTGTTGATTGACTGATTAGCCTGTACAGTTGCTTGAAATTTTTGTTTTTTACTGGTGAGGAGAGAATATGGTAAGCTTTCCCTGGTTACCCTATCCGGATGGCCCCTTCTTCCTCTGAACTCCTATAGTACTTGTTACCTTTACCACTAATTCATCACTTATCATAAGCAGCTTGTCTTGTGGAGCAGTGCTTTCCAAGTTTGTTTGCTTCTTATCATCCTCTCAGTAAAAAAAATTTGAGTACACAGTCCTAACATGTATATATTTGTTTATTCATAAATGATAAGCAATACTATTATACTAATACACTAGGTATATGATAAAACATACACAAAACAGGAATTTAAAAGTATGAGATAAAGATGAAACATTTCAAATTTATTTTATTAATTGTACAAAAAACCTTTTTTCTACAGAACAGTGTGATTGAATATGCTTCATTATTTTTCAAAAAATCCCTGAAGCATAGCGCAGATTAGTATATAATAATTTTTAGTAACTTTAGTTAATTTGATCAATGTAGCTAGCCAAGTGAGTGAATTTAAAGCATTTTAAAATTTTAACTAACTATATTAATTTATAGATAAGAATTTAAATTATTATACATTATTATATTGTTAAGATTATTATATATTATTTAAATAATAATTTAAATTATTGTTAAATTATTGTATTTATTAAAATAAATAATTAATTTATAGATAATAAGTCATAGCGGTCAAGGAAAATAACAGCTTTTCAGCAGGAGCCATCTTTCTCTGCATGCAGACATTCACTGTACTTAATATGAAAACAAGCAAAAGTAAATTATTGGGTTAGCTAGGTGGCGCAATGGATAGACCACCAGCCCTGGAGTCAGGAGGACCCGAGTTCAAATTTGATCTCACAGACGTAACACTCACTAGATGTGTGACTCTGGGCAAGTCACTTTGCCTTACCCAAAAATAAATAAATATGTAAATTATTTCTGATTTCAAGTCAGAAATTTTCAGTATAAATTCATTCTTCTTTCTCTACCTGGTTCTGCTTAATGGATAGCATCATACCTTAATTTCCTTTTAATCTGTGGATAGTTTAGGTTTGTTTTCGTATGACTACGAGAAACATTCAAAAAGCCAGTTTGACTGGATTGTCGAGTCCAGCCAAGGGGGTAATGAATAACATGACAGCAAAAGCAGACTGGGCCAGGTTGTGAAGGATTCTAAATGATAACTAAAGAAGTTTATGTTTGATCTGAGAGGAAATAAGGAAACCATTGGAATTCCTTGAGTAGGGGGCGCTGTATGGTCAGATCTATACTTTAGGAACATCATTTTGGCAGGTGTGTGGAAGATGGATTATTGGAGTGGGGAGGGACTGGAGTCACCAAGGCCATGGGAGAAGAGGAGGGAAGTGATGATAATCTCAAAGAAGGTGGTAGCCCTGTGAGTGGAGAAAAGAGGGTGGATGCAAGAGATATCATAGACAGAATAGGCAAGACTTGGCAACTGCTTGGATTATGTGAAATATGTGAAAGCAAGGAATCGGGAATAACAAAGAGGAGGCTAACCTGGGGGACTGGAAGGATAATGGTGCCACAAACAGAAACAGAGAATTTAGGAAGGGGGGGATGGGTTTGGGGAGAATGACAGTGTAATGAGGTCTGTAGTGCACACTGTCAACCATCCATCACTGTTCATCCTGGGTACCTGACTCTTCCACCCCAAATTAAAAGAAGGAGAGTAAGTCTCTCAATCACACCTAGCTGACCCAAAGCACAGGTCTTGTCTTTGGAGAGGTACCTGCCACTGACATGAGATAATCTGAGGAAGAGAGGATTAATATAGAGGACGAATCGGTGCATTTCTCAATGGCACCTGCACGACTTCTGCCTAGGGTCCCCAGGGTAAGTTATAACTGCCCAGAGGATACAATAACTGCTTAAGGAGGAGGGAGTTTGAGAGCTCCAACAAATGGCAGGAGGGGGTAAAGTGGGTTGTAATAGGTGAGAAAGTTGGGTTTAATAGGTGAAAGGTTGGTGTAGTTATATATTTTAGTTTGGGGTTTTTGGTTTTTTTCTTTAGGCAATTGGGGTTAAGTGACTTGCCCAGGCTCACACAGCTTGTACGTGTCAAGTGTCTAGTCTGAGACTGGATTTGAACTCAAGTCCTCCTGACTTACTGCACCCCTTAGCTGCCCCGTAGTTATATATTTTCAATACAAATCAATTACTCTTTCTTTACATGGTTGCCTTCACTAACTGTGGGGGGAAAGGGATGCAACCCATCTTCCTACCTTCCAACTGGTTGATCATATAGCCCTTGAGAGCATTCCACAGACCCTAGGAGATCATAGCCCTCCCTCTGGAGACCATTTCTCTAGTCTATAGATTGGGTCTGAGACATCTGTGTATCCTCAGGGC